AGTAATCTTAAGCGCCAGCTAGATCGTAACCGCCTATATGACCGTCTATGTGCAACTCAAAATTGCATAATTTGCCCCAGTGGTAGAGACGGTGATTGCATGAGCTCGGGTATAGTTTATCTGATTTCCTGTAAGACGTGTGGTGACGAATACATTGGCGAAACGGGTAGACCCCTCTGTGTCTGCATGAAAGAACACCTAGCCGGCAAAAATAGACCAAATACCCCGCTAGGCACACATAGGACCCAGAGACATAACGGGGACGACTTCGAAGTATGTGTCACGATCCTCGCACGCGAATCAAGAACACAGGCGCGCAAAACTCTCGAGGCGTTCTGGATTAATTCTAGAAATCCGAAAATGAACCGCAGAGAAGAATGCCTCATTATCAAGCGTGATATTGGGCAGTATATAAGACTGTTATTCTGATGGGAGGGGCACATTACGCTTCCGTGTGAATTCTGTGCGGTTGGTCTTCAAGCGACATACTCAGTGGAATTCTCGTAGAAAGCGATGAGTGTGCTAAGCTGTTTCAGTGTGATTGAAATCTTGATTTAGCATTTTTTTTTTGTTAGGTTATGGAGGTGCTTAATCGCTATTGATCGCTGTCAACTTGACCTTTCCAGGCTCTGAGGGAGGCGAAATCCGCCGAAACGTTAGCTTATTCGTGAATAAAGGATAGGAATAACGCCTCGCCTTTGGTCAACAGGAATACGAAGAATTACTTGATCAATGCCGAGGTTAATAGAAAGTCGGTCGTGGGAGAAAAAAATTACACTAGAACTAGGATGTAAGCAAAACAAAAAACCGGTGAACAAGTAATGAAGTGAGGGGAGTGAGTGGAGGGGAGTAAGAAATTTGCAAAAGAAGAAAGGAGAACTGCAATGGTTCAATGAAAACATGAACGACATTTGTATTAGCCTCGTTTATAACTCAAGTATGCCAAGTATCTGGTTAGGTGTAAACAACGTAGAACAACAGAAGGACATAGCAAAGAACGAGAAGTTCTCCACAAGGAACTGGATTTTCCGAAAATAAAAACGTGCCAATATGACGGTGGTAAGGTCCTCGCTCATCTTATTTTTCTCAGTCACAATCTGGGATACTAAGCAGGTTCCAGGATAAAAACCAGCTCGAAGACCTAACGTACCGAGCGTTTTCGCGTAGAATGGCGCCAGCTTTCATGTCGATCAGTTGTTGCTTTCCGATCGGAGATGTCGGTAGAGTTGACATACTTTCACTAAGATTCCATCACGTACTTAACCTAAAAGTCGATACAAAAATAACAAAAGTGTAACCAATATTATATCCAAGAGATATCATATATATCAATATACCATACATCCAAGAGAAGACGGATAAATGAGAGGACGAGTAGGAGAAGAAGAATCCATAGAATTCGGGGGATGTAAAATTGATATAAGCGAAATCGATGTTTCCACTGAAGCACTTTAGCTTTAAAAAAAAATTTTTAAGAAGCAGTGTATATTATATTATATTATGCTGTATATTGCGTATTATATGTGTATTTCCTGGTGATAAGGAGCCTTCAACAGGTTAGTAGCGAGGGTACGTGGCACGTCCGCAAGTAAAGGACGGAGTTTCGTTAAATGAGCACTTTTCTTGAGATGAAGGTAAGCCCATGAAATCATCTACCTCTCTGTTCTGCTACGAATTTGCTTATAAGGTTGACGTGCACGTGGTCATACTCGTACATATGATTCCTAGTTGTTCGTGTCTTATCCACCTTGTCAATTTGGCCAAAAACTCGACTACTATATGATTGTGGAGAACATGGGTGAGGAATTCGGGGTCATTCAGAGCAGATAAGGTTTATATCTACGCAGAAAGAACTGTGATCTATACTTATCTAAGGAACCTGTTTGCTACACACGGCTACATAGAACGCGTATAGCACAGTAGTTATAGATGATCTGTGATACATGCATGATCGATGGCTCAATCTTGCACCGCAGCCCCATGAAGTCTTGGATTTTTTCGTGGTTGAGAAGTTGGTTTGAGTTTTGTCTGGGAAGATAAAAACACTAACTCCATACATTGCTAAGCCTCTGCAAGCCATTCTCATGACAAAATATGCATCTCTTGCGATGCTCCGAATGAAGTCGAATGCATGGTGCAATCCTCCGAGATTCAATAACGCCTATTGTTTTGCTCACAGCTATTCTATTCGCCAAACAGAATAAAAAGAAAGAAGACTTCACTTGATGTCTTTCAAGGGTGCAGAATCCACTGAGCAGCTGAGGGGAGTGAGATTGACGAATAGAGGGATTAACGACCGGAACTACTTCGAGTCAGTCAATGAACCTTACGGCTATGGGTGGTATCAAATAGGTTCGAATACGCTAGTTTTTACATTTGTAAGTAGGTCTTATAGTAAACAATGTATCACAAAAGTACTTTTAGAGACGTCATAGTCACACATCTGATGAATTCATAAGTGACTGTGCGTCAATGAAGGCGAGTTGTCGATTCTGTTGAGGTGACTTGCTGATGAATATTTAATAACAGGACATCGTATGAAGAGCAAGAAGTAGAGGAATGAATGAAGGAAATAAAGGGGATGAAAGAATGAAACGGACTAAAGAAAGAAGAAACAACAGGCAAATTTATAGACGGAAAAAAGGTGAAAAAAAGAAGGAAATAGAAGAAAAACAACAGATGGTTTTCGTAGACGTTACACCTTCTTGAGTTAAATTTCATGAAAAATAAATTTTACCAGAAGAAAAAGAATATATTCACAAGCAAAATCAGAACAATTATCATAAAGATGGAAAAGTGAGCGATTAGAACTCATTGAAGCGGTTCTCCTTTCTTTAACTTATTATTTACTGCCTACTCTTTTTAATGGCAGGGTATATATTGCGAAACATTACTTCAATGATGCTGAGATATTTGCAAAACTCCGGACCGCAGGTGTCTGCGGTGGGGAACGAACGTGCTATTATCCTTTCAGGGGAGTAACGTATTCACCACCACACCATGTGGGTCCTTCGTTTCGCCTGTCTCTCAAGTAGTTCTATCGATCTTTTGCCATCTGCAATCACCTGTCAGCGGGATTGATCTGGGAGGCCCAAATCGGCAACGAACCCAGTTAAGTTGAGGCCGTAGTTTTAATCGCAATTTTAACTTATTATTCACTGCCTACTCTTTTTAATGGCAGGGTCCCGCTAACGGGTGATTGCTGATGGTAAAAGATCGATAGAACTAGCTGAGAGAAGGGCGAAACGAACGACTCGCATGGTGTGGTGGTGAACGCGTTTTTTTTACATGATCAGTCGCATCTCCTGCGTGGATCCCGGCACTTTTTGCATTCGATTCGTTGTCCTCACTTTCAGCGTCCACAAATATCTTCGAACATTTCTGTGTTGTTTCAGCTGCTGCCCGAGGATTTCATCTTCTTCATGAGTGTCATAGAATGCTGGTTTAGTCGAATCTGCTTCATATCTTGGGTACACCCTAGCTGAGGCGTTCCACGTGGAAGGTAGTAGAGCGCTGGAGAAGGAGTAGGACCAGTGCCTAGCTTCCCGATGGACTGCATCACTAACCACTACACAACCCGCATCATCCCTCTCCCCCATTTCGCACAGTTCTTATTCCAATTAGAAAAATCCACGATACACAATGATTTCTTTGCTTAGAGTTGCTGAAAGTTTCATTTAAGTGATAAATTATCCATTTTCGGAGATGTACGACTCGTAGGTGACTCCTAATATATACTCATGTGTTTCAGTAGGGGTTAACGTATAATAACTTTCACAGACATACTGGAATGCTACTAGGATAGAATCACTAGAAAATACTTGAACTCAGTAATTGCATGGATTGAAAGCAATATTTTCATCATTCAGCTACCATCGGAGTAATATGAAGGATTTGTTTGGCCAGGAGGAGGAATCGAACTCGCGACCACCTGCGCGCCTCTGGAAATAACTACGAGAAGCCGCCAAAGAATCCACTAACGATGCTAGTAACCAGAAATTTAATTCCATAAAAATTTAAAATAACCGTAATTTTAAGGAAACTGTTCCAAATAAGAAGCATTTTAATCCCTTATTTTACAATGTCGCAAAGATTTAGCTGGCGATTTCGCGCATACAAGACGTTATTCATGAGTTTCGCTCAGAAAGCGTTTACCTTGTAGTTTATAGCAACTATCCCCGGAATAACTCGAAAGACCGGCTTTCTATGAACCTCGGCATAAATAGTTGATATATTTATTTATGTGATCTTATAAACTGATCTTCTTAAGCTGACGCGAGGTTGGTATAGATCTTCGTTGTCGATGTCGTTGTCGTTGTTTTTGATGTTATTGAACGATGGCTGACGTTTCGGCGACTTCGCCTTCCTCAGAGCCTGGACGTACTTTATGTTAGAATACTTTTTATTATTCGGTGGAAAAGAAGGTTAAAGTATTAATGAAGATCAAACTTTCAAATAGACGCCATATTGAACAGAAAGGTCACTCACCGTGATGTTATGTGCGGGACGCCGCCAGTTAGTTCGAAACCGTCTCTATGATCGTTTGTGCAGCTCAGAAAACTGTGTGATCTGCCTTAACGGGAGGGACGGGAATTGCATGAGTTTAGGTATAATATACTTGATCTCATGTAACGCATGTGGTGAGGAATATATCGGGGAAACGGGTAGACCACTTTGTGTCCGCATAAAAGAACACCTGGATGGAAAAGTGAAAATCCGTCTAAACACCCCTCTAGGTACGCATAGGGCACAAAAGCACAACGGCGATGATTTTGAAGTGAATGTGGGGATCCTAGCGAGGAATTCAAAAACATCAACGCGCAAAACTCTTGAGGCGTTTTGGATAAATTTCAAAATTCCAAAGATGAACCGGAAGGACGAATGCCTCACTATCACGAGTGACCTGGAGCCCTATTTCAAAATGATATTTTGACCCCGGGGCGTGTCTTGCTCGCCTAAACTACGTGTTGGCCAGTCCCGCACATAACATCACGATGAGTTCAATATGGCGTCTATTTGAAAGTTTGATCTTCATTAATACTTTAACCTTCTTTTCCACCGAATAATAAAAAGTATTCTAACATAAAGTACGTCCAGGCTCTGAGGAAGGCGAAGTCGCCGAAACGTCAGCCATCGTTCAATAACATCAAAAACAACGACAACGAAGATCTGTACCAACCTCGCGTCAGCTTAAGAAGATCAGTTTATAAGATCACATAAATTAATAATGTAGGGTTAACGCGTTGCAAATGAGAAACAAGGAGGAAATAGAAGCCGAACTGAAAACTTATTTAGTTCACCAGCTATTTAGACAGAAAGAAAGCGGTTTATCGTTTTCTGAAGCCGATAAGTGGCTGCGATTTCATTTGTTTCTAATGTAGCGTGTTCATTTATGTCCTAAAGATCACACAAGCATCTCTTTTCCCCACTTCACTTAGTTTTCATTCCTTAATTGTTTGGTTCGCTTCATTTGCGAATGAACTCTACCAATATCCTTCGGATAATATTGGGTGCTATTGTGTACCAGTCAACCTCTCAGACTGCAATATGTAGCCGAAATTATTTCCCAATAGAATCACCTAAGCCAAAGAGCTCTATGCTCCCGTTCCGACGGTCTTTTCAGAGTAAATTAACGTCATGAATTCTCGTCTTAACGGAAAATATTTAAGAAATCACCAGCACACCTACCACGAGACTCGATTGTAGAAAAAGGAAGAACCTACCGAACAATATTCATTCAAATCAACCCTTGGTGATCGTAACCGTTTTCGCACGTCGGGCTCGTCGGACCGCATGTTATTGGCGCAAACGGAACGCGCTTTGGGATCGTGATGTACGGTCTGTGAGCCCACACAATGAGTACGCTCGTTTCTCGAGATTTGCAATCTGCTGTTCGTTCCCCCACATTTACTCTGTGCCTCTCCAACTTCTGCATATCGACCGTGTTCTTCTGTGTATGCTTCCGTTTTCCTGGACACCTCTTGTGTGTGATGAAAAAAAAACTTGTCAATGACGATGACATTGTCTTTGCTTATGGTTTTCTGTGGTAGTCAAAGTGTACTTCTGTTCCCTGTTCATGTCTTTTATATCCACCGACTACCTTCTACCGTCTGAAACAGCTTCCTGTAGGTATAGCAAAGAATACCTATCCATGAACCTCCCAATGAAATCTGTGTTCGACAAGCCAGCAACTACAGAGCCGTGAAGATTTCATGTGATTAAAGAATGATGTGTCTATGTGAAAATATTGAAAGAGAAGTAATTTTGGTCAACGCTGTGCACTACATTGTTGTCACAATACAAATAGTTCAACCTTTTCATCACCGTGGCCGTTATCGCGTAGCAGACCCATCGGACCGCGTGTCATTGGAACACAACTGAAATGTGCATTGAAATCAAGATGTACGGTCCGAAACGTACAACAGCTTGCATATTGAAATCAATGTGCATGACAGTGAAGTGGATTAACAGGATATGTACCGGGATTGCACACCTCTGCAACAAAGACCTGCTGTGCTGGTAAACAACTGTTACTACGTACTCTCCTATACTTGTTGCTGGTGTGATAGCCGATCGACATTTAAAGATGTCAGCAGAGATGGACATTTAGAGAAATAAAAACATTAGCCGTAAAATAGGATTTATCAAATTGAAACGAAACTAATTTACATGCACCCTTATGAATATACAAACCAGGGCAACTGTTTAAGAGATATATCAGAAATTATGGCAAGCATGACAGCAATGTCCTTCAGTAATCGTCATCCCCATCGGAATCGAGGTTGTTACGACGTCGATCAAACTAGAAACAAAAACAAATTTCTACTTTCCTGAAAACATTCCTATAAAAAATTGTATTAAAAAGGTTACTCAGAGCTCTTAAAAACGATACCCCAGACGAAGTTACATGCCATCACTTACTTAAAAACCACTAGTGAACATTTGTGAACAAAACCTCTTAGTCAGTACTTCATACTTTACGAAAGTAACACTCACGACAATATTCGTTTAAGGTAATGCTAACCAAATCAGCGCACCTTAAATATCATCATGTTATACCTTTTTATTTTCTGCCTACTATACTTTCGCGGCAGGGTACTAAGCGAAATACAACCACAACGTTGCTGAGATATTTGCAAAACTCTGGACCGCAGGTGTCTATGGTGGGGAACGAACGCGCTATTGTCCTTTCCGGGGAGTAACGCGTTCACCACCACACCATGCCAGTCCTTCGTTTCGCCTGTCTCTCAGATAGTTCTATCGATCATTTGCCATCAGCAATCACCTGTCAACGGGATTGATCTGGGGAGCCCAAATCGAGCTGGGAGACAGCCGAAACGAAGAATCCGCATGATGTGATGGTGAACGCGTTACTCCTCGGAATGGACAATAGCGCGTTGGTTCCCCACCATAGACACCTGCTGTCCAGAGTTTTGCAAATATTTCAGCAACGTGGTAGTTGCATTTAAATATCATCGTTGAAAACTTGCCCGATTAAACATCGACCTAAGTACCCAGAGAACAAGCCTTGAAGTATTCCCACCAAATCTAATTCTAAACAGTGCCTAAGTATGTTCTTTGTTTAAATCAAACAGTGAAATGAACGAGCCTCATTCCCCTAACCTCTAGAGAGCCTCCGATATGGTAGCCTTGGCTAGGAAGAGTACGGAGAGGCTACTAAAATCTCAGGGCCAATGGAAGATGCCTAGATTACAAAGAACTATGGTGACGATCTGCACCTACGATGCACATACACCTGCATCCATCAGAGTCCTCGATAGAAGACTTGTTCATGCAAGCAAGAAAGATAAAGTACGACGCCATCGGCCTGGCCTAGACGAGACGACGCCACCCATTCAACGCCGTCAATGACACCGGAGAAGAACTGTTCCTCGGAACATGCGACAGTAGAGGCGTCGATGGTGTCGGGGGTTTCGTCAACGCGAGTTCATCCACGAACATCGATTTATTCGAACAACTTACAGCCCGAATCGGACGTTTACGATTAAAAAGATGTGGATCAATACTGGCTTTGACAATTTTCGTCGTTTACGCGCCGACATCAAACTGTGACGAAGAAGAAGTCGAATCATTCTATATGGACTTCGAGTTCTACAGAGAAAACCAAACATTCTTTAAGGTCATCACTGGAGATTTCAACACCAAGACTGGACCAAGAAGAACGTCTGAAAAAGTCACATTGGGACCCATGGATTAGGACGGAACGAGCAGGGTGAGCGGCTATCTGAGTTTATCATGGCGACCTAAACCATCCATGGTAGCTCGCAATTCCAGAAGCCTTACCCTCAACGCTGGACGTGGGAGACTCCTAGTGCAGAGTACCATAACGAAATAAACCACATTATAGTAAATCGAAGGTTTTACCTTGCCGATGACACTGTTTTCTCAAAATTCTACACAAGATCAGACCACCACCTCCTTCGTGCAACATTCCATTTCTCGCGGAAAGGAGAAAAAGCCGCTAAATTCAAAAACCGAAGTCCCAGAACTACCGTAAACTGGGACTTATTTAATTTATTAGTCGGCTGTTGGGAAGGTGCCGCTGTCGATAACATCGATGAAGAATACGAACGGCTCATTCAACATCTTCACGTTAGCGCTATGAAAGCTGAGAGTTCGAAAACCACCAAGAGTCGTTTGTCTCCAGAAACATTCGAGCTAATACGCCAGCGCAGAATCGCACGAGCTGCAGGCAATCGCTAACTAAATTTGCAAAACAACGCAGACAGGCGATAAAAGATTTTAAGGAGTGAAGAGCAGTAGTAATGGTCGAACCTGCAGAGGCTGAGAAAAGCATTTGTAAAACCGTCCGAAGCTTCACCAATTGCAAAACCAAAATGATTGTACTCCAATGCCAAAACAGAACAATTACAGCATCCAGAAGGCAATGGAGAAAATCGTTCACCACTACTACTCAGATCTCTTCAACAGCTACGTCCTGCTTCCCTAATATAAATAAAGAAGGATGCATATGTCGTAACACCGGTTCTCATTTCCAAAACCTGAAGTACTAATTCATCGATGGAAAATCGAACAGCAACAGATCCTGACAGGATAAGATCTGCACACCTAGACGACCTTTCGCCAGTCCTCATCAACACACCGGCTCGGCTCTTCACAGGTTACTTTTCTGAATACAAGGTCCTTATTGAGTGGAAGACCAGCAACACCGTGCTTTTGTTCAAGAAGTGTGACCTTAAGGATATTGGCAACTGTCGCCGCATCTGCTTACTGTCGGTCTTAACGTCAACAAATATTTCAGTCGAGTCATTCAAAAAAGAAAAGATGAACAGCACAGTGGACGACAGAGCCATGTGGGCAAGCAAGTTTTGGAATAAGATTCATTACGATGGACCACATCCACACGAACGAAGAACTCATTGAAGTATTGCGAGAGTACAAAAGACCACTCTGTCTCACTTTCATAGATTTACGGAAAACCTTTGATTTAATTGAGATAGAATCAGTCATGGAAACCCTTGATAGTTAAAGAATCTCTACTGAGTATTTAAAGATTCTTCGAGCGTTGTATACAAATCTTACAATCAAGATATCACCATTCTACAATGATATTGATATCGACGTCAAAAGATGGGTTAGGCAACGCGATACTCTTAGGTAAGGCGATAATATCCCGCCAAAATCATTTACCGCCACCCTCGAGAACGTTATACGAAGATTGAAATGGGATAACATAGGGCTCGGTAAATACACCATTTTCACTTTGCTGATGAAATGGTTCTCATAACACAAAACACTAGCTAAGCAGAAAGAATGCTTGCCGACTTTGATAAAACATGTGGGAAGATTGATCGTCGACTAAATATCGCAAAAAGGATGTTCACGAGGAATGGATTGGTTTCTTACGTTCCATTCAAGTTCAATGGAACGAATATCTCCAAATTTTCCAGGCTACAGTTACGTTGTATCTAGGTCGGCAAACCAACATGATGAACGATTTAGCTTCAAAGATGCGCAGAAGGAAACGAGTGGCCTGTGGAGCTTTCAAGAGCATCGAGGATATAGTGAAGAGGACAAAGAACACCCGACTTTTTGCCCACCATTTCGGCTCAGCGGTACTTCCGACGTTAACGTATGCGTCAAAAACCTAGTTGCTGCGTAAACAGGATGAAAAATCACTCAGCATTATCGAACATGCAGTCGAAAGCACGATGCTAGGAGTATCCCGTTCCATACAAGTAAGAGGTGGGATCCGAAGCTCCGATCTGCGTCAACGATCAGAAATCAAGGTGCCGTTCTGTACGCCAAACAGTTGAAGATAAGGTGGGTCGGACGCGTAATGCGTATGAATGACAACCGATGGATAAGTGCCGTTAGTGACTGGGTTCCTCGTGATGTCAAACGCACTGCAGGAAAACCACCGACGCGATGGTCAGAGTTCTTCACGAAATGCCCAGAAGAAAGATATGATGCTCAACAAGTTTCTAGGGCGAGCAGAATCCACTGGCCTACTCTTCCACGCGACAGTGAAAAATGGAAGATTTACTTTCGCCCGCTCGGGTCACTCGACGATCAACGGAACTATAGGTGGCACAGGTGATCTAGAAATAAACAACATAAATTAATAGCACGGTTAATTTCCCTTAACGCAGCTAACATTTTAGCTAAAACCAATGCTGCATACTTGCTATGTTGGGCCGCTCAAATGGATACATTCCTTTTTAAATCCTCTTCTAGAATTTTATGCAACACAGTTTACTTGCATTCCTCGTACTGATTACCGTGAAACTCAATAGCAAAAATCATGACCAACACCCCTAACTTTAATTACAACAAAAGTAAATGTAACTGATTGGAAAAAACTTCTAAAGCCTTATAGACATAATGCGACATCGGACGTAAAAGGCAAGAACGTGTCCATTATAACGAACCTTCACACTGGTTGTCCGTGTAGTTTGTTGAGAGACACGTTCCATCAATTGCTTCAATCCCTCATCAGATAATTTCCCTACCAACTGCCCTCGTCTAAAAACAAGAACTCACAGAGCTGTCCCAACTACATTGTATTTTGATGACTCGAACAACAGAAATGGGATTCCACAAAGGTAATAAAACTAAGTTCAACAGACGGAAAGCATATTCCATCAATTACATGAGCTCCAATAGAATGTTGAACGCAATAAAAAAGAAGAAAAGAAATCCAGAAAAGGAGGATATTTCATCTCTTACCGGGCCATATTAATGACGGCTGATTCAACTATTTTAGCCTTATCTGGTTTAACTGCAGATAAATTACTCAGTCGCACTAACGCTTGTTGGTCCAAAATCTAAAGTAAAATCCTAGACATAGAACAGTAAGCGAGAAGAAATCTAAAAAACTCGAAATCTGCTCAACTTAGTGAAACAACAGGAATCATTATCAAGTTTCTACTCAACACTAGGACGAAAACACAACCTGCGAGAGCATGGAGTTAATTGCATTTTCCCGACTTTCTGCTTCTTTCCGAGCCTGTTCTTCCTGGTTACTTCGTTGTGCATCGGCCTAAATCACTAAATAGATTCGGATTTCATTGTTGGTAAGAGCTAAGTTAAATCAGTATGCAACATATGCCGACAATCACCATGGTGAAGAAATTTCCTAACTCTTAGAAGAAAAGCACAAGGGAACCGTGCAAAGACAATCCCACCGTTTTAGACCCCAAACTAAGAGGTGACTTTATGGAAAAAAACAGTTGTATGTTATTGCGGAGTCGATCTCTTAACAACAAAAATCCACAAAATCTCAAGAAACAGTCCCCTTTTAGTACTTTGTCCACTATTCTAGTAACTGCAGATATATCCAAAACAGACCTGTGGGTCCATGGCTGTTGATAATTGAGCGGCAGAATCCATGACACTGTTTCTGAAGCTAAGCACAAGTCGTACTCGTGTAAAAGACTAACGGAAGTAAAGAACGACAGAATGGAACAACGCAAAATAAAGACTATGTGCGGAAACAGACCATCGAGGAATCTTTAGTTGTACAACTCTAAGAAGAGGTTCTTTCGTTGTTTACTGGACGCTTTTTCAAAAAGAAAATATAATAAAAAGGTAAGCTTTTCAAAACGTTCCCTTCCGTCCCTATTCCACGGGTACATTTATCGAGACTTAGTACTACACAGTAGAAGGAAAGTACTAATTAGTCTACACAAAAAGCAAGCCCAATTGGCAAGTTCTTAAGATACTAACCAAAAACATTAATAAAAGCCTCCGCACCATCACTGGAACAACGTGCTCACCGCTTCACAACATTTCAACCCAATATTTGGGCGTAGGTTACATAGCAGCGTACGTATTTACGTAAGAAACTAATCCGACGTGATGAAATTCTACATGAGCTGAGTATTTTCTTCGGAAGTCTTCACCATAAGTGATGTACGATCATATGAAGAGAATTCTACAACATAAGTACGACAATAAGGGCGCGTGTAGCGCAGTGATCGGAGTGGCCCTGAAATACACACAAGATCGATTCCCGCACCCCTGGCCCACCAAGCCCTCCATACATCCGTGGTCTGCAAATTGGTAACAGACTTGTATGGGAGCGTAGTAGCACTGGTTTGATACATCGGTAGGCCACCGTGATTCGTTGTAAAGGTCAGATATGCATTTGATCACCTCCAAGCGATGCTTAATGAAGTTGTATGCATGGCACATCTCTTAGGGATAGACTAACGCCAAGAGCTTTATTCTTCATCATTTATTTTATACACGAGAATAGGAAGGCACCATAGTCGTAGTTTGGTGTTTCGTAGCTATATAATGTTTTACGAGGTAGTAGTACGAGGATTCGACTTTCAGGTTTGGGTCTACTTTCTGGATAGATAGCATTTAACTGCGTGATTACTTTTAGATTGCAGTACAATTCTTTGTTGTTACAGAGCTGTCAGTACTCGAGACGCTTGACATGAGTACTACAATGAAGCAGACTTCGATTGTATAATAAGCTGGATAGGAATTGTACTGGAATTATTGTAACTGTACCTAGTATTTGGTGATATTTGTTATTAGTCCTAAACTTGTCACAAATCTTTCAATCTTCACAGCTGTCGCTGTAAAGCTGAGATAGTATGTATCGTTAGGTACTGAAAGCCAATATTTCACGGCAGGACCTACAGATTTTCATGGTTTTCTTCATCAGTTTGTGAAGTGATTGAACTCAATTCTACGGCGATCTCCTCGATTCTTCATTGGTCTATTGACTTCATCATTCAAGCACTTCAGTTTCCTCATTACCATAGTAAAATGTTCGTCACTATTTCGTCAAGCTGGCATGAGGTTCAAGGGAGCTCCTTCAGAACTTGTAGCTGGTGATTTACCAGTAGTCAGTCACTTGGCGACGGATGAAGGACGTCATTTGTGTGGGCGTTATAGTCGACACAGTCACTAAGCCCACTTCGTAGTCGCTTTTCGCATTGATGTGTGAAATGGAATTTCATCATTGAGGTCGACTAGGATCGCTACAATTTGCACAAAACAATTCCGGAAAAGTCAGGACGTACACCACTGTTTCAATCATTGCTCCGTCTTTGCTGCTTACTGGCTGAAGATGGACACCTGGTGTAAAAAAGTAACAGTACACTCATCATCGATCTAGCCTCGCATTGTCATACTGAAGTTTTCAGAAAGTCTGAAGGCGCGTTGCACTCTGTTGTGAATTAACCAAGAAGTTGATCATACAAGAAGTTGAACGCGTTACTCCCCGGAAAGCACAATAGCGCGTTCGTTCCCCACCATAGACACCTGCGGTCCAGAGTTTTGCAAATATCTCAGCAACGTTGTGATTGTATTTCGCTTAGTACCCTGCCGCGAAAGTATAGTAGGCAGAAAACAAAAAGGTATAACATTGATCATACTTCGTTTCACATCCGAGGAAGGCTCCGGATAGACTCGAGGCAACCACGACGGCTAAATCTGCAAATCGCCGGGGAAAAATCATGCTGAGATCCGCACAACCAGTAATGATGGACCATCCGAGTATCCATGTAAGCAACGTTTCACGTCCATGACGTTGATGATCCAGAGAGATTGGTTTAAACGATTTGCTGGAAACCGAGTGGTTCGGAAGTTCCGAAATCTTTGTCTTACGTTTCGGAATAGACACGAGACGAATTGAGTATTAAGGAGTAAGGTGAGCATTTCGAAATGTGATGAATGGATAACAAAATGATATCCATGAATAGCGAACTGAAGCAGCAGACGGTTATCGTCGTTATTTGGAAAACTACTATTCGCTTGAGGTGTCAGACAGACGAGAAGCAACAGAAATATTGATAACGGTGTTCATCGATATCGGACATAACTTCATAAGCTACCGAGGTTACAACGGGAGGCATTAAAACAGTACTGTGGAAGAAATCTAAAACCGCTTACGAGCGGCAGATGGTGGTTCAGTTATCATCCCTTTCCTTATTCGGATTCACCTATCCTACTCTATTCATAAATAGGCATAAAGCTCTCGGCGTCAATCAGTCCCTGCGGGATGCGCCATACATTCGACTTTACTAAGCATCGTTATGGTGATTGAATGCATATGTGGCTTCTACAATGACTCGCGGTGGCAAACCCGATGTATCAAGCCAGTGCTGCTATTCTCCCAGACAAATTTGGTACCAATTTACCGACACCTGAGGGATGGAAGGCTTGATTAGCTAGGGGCGCGGGAATCGATCCCATGTGTATTGCAGGGCGCCTCCTACTAATGCGCTACAGGCGCTCGTTATTCTCTTCTATTCTTACATGTCAGGTGTTAACAGGTGTTACGCGTTTGCAGTTAATGTAATATTTCATATTAGTACTTTTCTTCACTGTGTGAAAAACCACATAACTGCATTAACAAGTATACTTTTTCCACTGATAAGCTAATACGAGGTTGTTGAATAGCTGCATTAGGCCAGAAGATACGTATTGATTAGTCGTGCCGAGGTTAAAAGAAAGTTGGTTTTTACATAATTGTATTGAAGAGAGCAAAACCACCTAAACGTTAGCTATTGTTAATCAATTAAGGCTTTAATAACAACCTCGTGTTTAGTCCACAAGGAAAGTAGTGGATTAGAAATGCATTATTCCGTATAGTGTACGTATTGTATATGGATATCTATATATGTATATATATATGTGTATGTACATATCTATGTGTGTGTGTGTGTGTTAGAGTTTTTCAACAAGTGAAATCAGGTCGAGACAGAAGAAAGTTCGTCAAAGTCGCACGATCTCCTTCTCGTCTGAGGTCATTCATCTGTACACTTGCCTAGCAGACAGCCTACTAGTAACTCGACTATCGTCGTAGATACTGAATGATATGGTAAGTAAAAAGCTCCGCTTTACTTATTTACTGGTACGCTTCACCTGTACGTTTTTTTCTCGCCCAAAAGTTCTATCATTTTACTTGAATGGAATCTCGTTTATGTTTTAGGCATCACGAAAGAAGGGACTCTCTTTAGAGGAAAAGCGTGCACAGATGTTGGCGTTATTTTATGAAAGTGAAGATGTTTTTCAGATGAAAGAACTTGAAAAGGTATACATCTTACTTTGCCTATACTTAGCACTGTTTTAAACTTTTATGTTCTATATCTATACAAATGTTCTTATAAACTGTTCTTGTTGAGCTGTAAGAGAGCGAGGTTGGTGTAAGTTGTGGATGTTGTCGTTGTTGTTGTTGATGTTACTGTTGTGGGTTGATGGCTGATGTTTCGGCGATTTCAACTCCCTCAGAGCCTGGACGTATTTTGTGTCACAATAGCCTTATAATTCTGTGAAAATCTGCAGTATTAGTGAAGATATAACATGTGAATAAACGCTATGTTGTTCAAAAACTACTTCCAAATAACTAAACTCAAACTAAACGTATCACCAAATTATGAGGCTATTGTTACAGAGAATACGTCAAGACTCTGGAGAAGGCGAAAGAGCCTAAACGTCAACCATCGAACAACAACAGCAACAGTAACAACAACAACGACAATAGGAACGTCTATACAAATCTCACCTTAGCTCAACAAGAGCCCTTTGTAAGAACATGTAAATAAATGTATCGATTATTTATGCCAAAGTTTATAGAAACTCGGTCTTCTGAATTGTTTTACATTGCCTATGCTTAGCACTGTTTTAAACTATGTCTGAAAGCTGATCGCTTATATCAGATTGCACCGAAGCAAAAGGGAGTGATATCTCAAGCTGTGAAGGAAGTCACTCAGTCTTTGGTAGACGACGGTTTAGTGGAATGCGAGAAAATTGGGACTATCGTCTGTTACTGGGCTTTTCGATCCAAGGCCTCACAGATTGTACGTTGAAATTTTCTGCAAGTTCATTTATGCAGTTCTTTTTTCGCATGTTTTCAATTATTCATCGGATTCCGTGTTTTCTTTAGAGAAAGCGAAAGCTGCAAGAGCTTAACGAGTCGATTGATGATGTTAAGAAGAGAATTGCTGAAGGAACGGCTGAGCTGAAAAAGCAGAAGAAAGGGAAGGAGGTTGGTACTGTTTTTCTCTGTTGATTACACTTTTTCGTATAATTTCAACTTTATTTTACGAAGCCTGTTGACAGATGTCTTCCGCTGTCTGTCTACGTATTCTTTCTTATGGTTAAGTATTCCGAGTGAAGTGAATTGCAGTGATTGCGAAACAATTTTCGTAAAGCTACTGCTTCCACTGAATTTCCAGAGTAGTTCTCAGGTTTTTGCTTTAAGGACTCCGAGGAACGCTCTGAACTGTTAATTTTATTTGGGAATCTTCAAGAAGAAGAAAGAACACTTAGTGGACGCTTGGAACAGTATACTGAATACGACCCTGAAGCAATTGCTCAGGTGAAGCAACGGGCCGAAAAGGCGCGTGAGGATGCTAATCGCTGGACAGGTTTACTAACTAAATATTTTGGCCATTTCTCGAAAGATTTCCGGCCAGTATGATGATGAGTCAATCATGTATTTGTTTTTAGACAACATTTTCTCAATTAAGAAGTGGTGTAAAACAAAGTTTGGTCTGGATGACAAAGCTCTTGATCAGCAGTTTGACATACCCGAGGACATGGATTACATAGAATAGCTGAGAAGATTGATTCCACAACTTCGTATTCGTGTGAGAAAATTCGAGATCTCTATACATTTATTAGTGCAGAACGTTCTTTTCTGCTCAGAGTTTGTATTGCCTTTGAAACCAGGTAAGAATTAGTGTGCTGCGGTGAGATTCTCCGTAGTATCCAGCTTGTTCATGTCCGATATATGTATTCTTAGCATCGAGTATTTTGACTTAATCCACCCTTTACGGTACCACTTATCTGTAAATTCTATGCTATTTACAAATCATGTTCGATTCACCTTGTGAATTTGTTGCAATGAAAAATTCCTACGTTAGTGTTTAGAAAGCTAGATGGTTTTCATCCTTCTCCTTCTTTACGCTTTTTCTCTAAGCGGTTATGTATTACGTCCACATGAAGATGCGCATATATGCAGAATGGTGGTGAACAAATTACCGTTAATGTAAGGGGTATTATAAGTGAAACTAGTTCTATGTAAGTTCTCCTAAGTTTAGGGTAAAATTTTGCAGATTTTGGTCTAGTTCTATGTAAGTTCTCCTAAGTTTAGGGTAAAATTTTGCAGATTTTGGTCACACACTGTTACTGATGATTGTCTGACAAAGCTCATACCATCAGGTCATTCTGTTTCTGGAAGCATTAACGCTTTATGTATCCATTCTACCTACTATATGACGTTTTTGGAAACACTTGTAAAGAACTTCGGTTGTGGTTTCCTGTTTAGATCCTTAGGTAGAAGTACAGGGAATTGGTGTAAAGTATTCATGCGGGGCTTAATTGAATTTTGTTACTGTGAAATTATTCGTAATCCTCAGATTCTTTTTATTCTAAGGATCGAATTTGTCCCGTATTGGAATGTGCTAGCTCGTCCAGATAGTTTTTTCTCTTCTTATTTTCGGCTGTTGGTGTAAGATTCCTTATAATTGCGTCGTTAAGAAAACTTATGACTTAAGCTTTGTTTGTTCCTGTGATCCGGTCACAAATGTACCTTTTTTCCCATGATTCTCCTCAAGAACATAACTGGTTTTGGATGGTACTGACTTTTTATATCCGCTTCCTGTATTTTAGTACCATTACTCCCTTTTTGAAAAAGAATTTTACTACGACGGTGAAGCCGTCCTATACAGTTGACGACAGGAACAATATCACCTAGGTAATACATTATATTGGTGATAGGGACTATTATGGTGCCAATAGACTCAACGTCAGATGTATAGGCGTAATATTTGTTCAAATGTTTTAACTTTTAGTTTAATATGATGGTGGGCTAGTGGCATAATTCATGCCTCGTCGTGCATTTGCGCGAGCGGCGGCAAAATCTCGGGAAAAACATCATCCTTCAGTCAATGGAATAGAGATAGTGATTGGGTTTTTTATTAGATATATGCGGAAGCTTTAAATATATATATATACATATATATATATGGAAGTATAAAAAGAATAAAAGGATGAAGCTCTCGGCGTTGATCGATTCCTTAGAGATGCGCAATGCGTTCGACTTCATTAAGTATCGTTTGGAGGTAACTGACTCACAGTGGCCTGCCGATATCGAGGTACCAATTTGCCGACCCCGGAGGGATGGAGGGCTTGGTGTACTATGGGCGCGAGATCAATCCCGTGGGTATTGCAGGACGGTTCCGACCACTGCGCCACACGGGTCCGTGGGAGTGTACTTGATACTTGAATGGCCCGTCCTCACTGGTTGTGCGGGTCCCAGCATAATCTCCGTCTCTGCTGGTTAAGCCCTGGAGTCCTGAGGTCAGCCTGGCCAAAGTCTGCCCCACGTCGTTACCACAACAGGCAGTCGCAGCCCTTGTGGATCAGAAGGGAGATTTACCACCATGCGGCCTTGATACCAAGATGGTGGTGGATCCTGGTATTGGTTTACTTTTGGCTAGGCTTCCTAATGGAAACGCCGGACTCTTTCTCGGCTTTGGAGACCATGCCAGGGGATGAATCCCTCGCTGTACATCGCAGTCCGATACCCAGGAACACCTGCCACCCACGATGAAGCGGTAGACCGTGGGTGTATATGTTTTCAAAAACTTCAAGGAGGATGTTAAATAGCAGGCTAGTTGTTATCATGAAAAAAATAGGGCAATGGACCAGAATATGGGGAAAATTTGGAGTTTTTCACCGGTTGCAAAGTTCATCTCATTCATAAGGTCATGTATTCCTATCAATCGTCTTTGTTATGAAGGCTTATGTAGTCGATGGATGTCATCTACATTGTTGATAAGCAACGATGGAGGAATCAGTGGTGAAGTTCCTTGCTGGATTTCATATTCATGTGAAGTTGAATTGGTTGAAAGCTGTGATTTTGTTCGCCAAGTTACATGGAGTAGGAGATGAGGTATGGCCCTTATTCTCTTCTTTTGATATCCAGGTGATTCACATTGAAATTACCCACAGGAAGCCGCTCTATGCAATGCAGTAGTTGAGCAACTCCTACACTCTGATCTTTCCGACTCCTATGAACCACTCACAAAGGTTCCAGTGGTTGCTGTAAAGGCCGTTATCGTCAAGCAAATGATTTTCCAGGTAATTTTCATTTGATCTTTCCATTATTCTACGCACTAGGCCCTTTCCCGGCAATAGTTTTATTTTTTCTGTACTGTTATATCTGTGGGACCAGAATTATCCATTTCGTCTTTCTTTACTTCATGTTGTTTCTGTCGTCAACACTGCACGGTCTTGCTATGATCAATATCGTGAATGTATCAATAGTGAGGACGATCTGTCGTGGTTTTATGGTGATGAAGATGAGAACGGTCCCGAACAGCGGTCTCCTGTATGATTCCATCTTTTTTTCATAACTATTTCTACAAATATAATGTTTTATTCTAAGGATACGAAACAACTGGAAGGTTCTGGTCGCCGTAGGATGCTTAAAATAAAGCTTTTTGATGGCCAGAACACCGTACATGCTATCGAGTATGGTGGAAAGGTCTAAATTTTCGGTTTCTTATGTGCAATAGGACGAGTCTTTAACATCTTTTCATTTTAGCTTGCACTGGACGAAAATACATTACCGGGAACAAAGGTATGATTTTACTGTTCATTTAAATCACTTGTAACCTCTTTAATCATCGGAAATTCGGCCAAGAGCCAACATCTCCATTTGTTACTGCTCTTCTTCACAGTTGATAATCCGTGTTCGCCTTTTTTAACAGCACTACGCCTTTCAAAGTACGGATCTTTATTGCCGCAGTTTTTGACTAAATATTGGCCACTGTTATTATTGTTTACTTGGCCTTATTGAGAGGGTTAAATGAATTTACTTGTAGCATATATTACTCATCTTGAGTTGAAGCGAAGCTTTCTTCTTGGAAGCGTCCTCTAACCGCTTTCAATGTTATGCTTTACCTCAAGCTTTTAGTCGATTCGAGCCATAGAACACATTTCAAATACTTATTCCCATACATAGTTATGATTACATATACATAGAAGATGCAAGTAAATTGGACACTGTAGAGACAGATGGCAGTCTTCTCAAGCAGTAACCGAAGCCACATGACGTGTAAAAGTTGGAAGACCGTCGTCGATAATGGATGCGAAAAAACAAAATAAATGTGAGAAGTGCTGGGATCCACACAGTAGACTGAAGACGGATCGTATAAAAAAAAGAATAAAAAGAAGGCAGATGGCACATTTCGTGAGTAGGAGTGCCTCTATTGGGAGGGGCATAGTGTTCTTGCTTAGCAGTTATCTCTCTACTTGCCACTTAACGATGAGTCAAGTCTGCTCACCAGCTGGGTTGGTATTAAACGGATGAGCGAGGTCCGTGGATATTTCTCTTAAAGAAATGTGCTAATTTAGGCGGAATGAATTTTTCAAAACTTTTTCCTATGTAGGTTGCGCCTGAAACAAGCTAGGAAAGAAGCAATGATTCTATTTGGATATTACCAGTCTCGAAGTTCTTGACTTATGCTTTAATTTACCATTTCTAATAGAAATGTTGGGTTCCTTCACCGCTTGGACAGTGAAGGATAGATCTATTTCTGTATATCGCGATTGGACTCTTAGAAGCTCCTCAATGGTTCTGTTTTATAATGAAAAAGCCTTTCTTGGCCTTACGTTAGTATCTTCCAAGAGTAAAGTCTTGAGCAGAAATAGATTTGTTTCTACTGGATGATGTGTTTCGATCGTGGTTGTTTTGTTAGTAACGCACTTATTTTCAGATTTTATTGACTGCTCGTGTTCTCCTTAGAAAAGGGATTTTATTGTTAAACTCTTCGAACTGTCAAGTGAGGTTTCACATGGATAGAGCGGTTGGAACTAGTTTTAATTCAAGTTGGACTCTAGGTTTTAAATGGCGATATTGATGGGAAACCTATAGATCTCAAGTCGATGTTTGCAGAACGTCTTGGTATAAAGCAAGATGTTAAAGGACAGCGGTTAGTATATTGTTTTAAAACTTATTGAATCCATTCTAATACTTGTCCACCAATGTTTTTAGAAGTGTTTGTCTTTGTAGTTCTTCTACGATTTCGCCATTTCTCGTTCGTATTCCTCGAATGCCCAACCAGGCTATACATAACCGTGAAACGACAGCACAGGATACAAAAGATATGAAGAAAGAGGTATGAGGAAGTTCTTATTGGGTTGTTGGTTAAGAAGTACATTTAACATTCAAGGTGTATGACAGTGAAAGAACAGCAGTGGTACCACCGCTACAGAGTAATTTTGCTCCAGCTGTTGTAGTACCACCACTTCATAACAGTTTTGTGCAAAGTAAGTTATTCATGTGTGTTTAACTACTTCAGTGAAGAAGTCCTATGTAGTGACTTTCTTCTACGCTGTGTTATAAGTCATCATTGAACTAACTGAGAGACAGGCAAAACGAAGGACCCGGATGGTGTGGTGGTGAAGTGCGCTACTTTCCGGCAAGGACAATAGCGCGTTCGTTCCCCACCACGTACGCCTGCTGTCCGGAGTTTTGCAAATATCTCAGCATTATATTCGAGTTATATTTCGCGACATACCCTGCCATTAAAAAGAAAAAGGCAGTAAATAAAACGGTTAAGTCATTATTGTGTTATAAAGTTTTATCGTATTATGCTGCTTAACCAATCAATTCAGAGTCTACATTCGTTCCATCAAGAATACAGAAAAAATTATTGTTGCCATTTGATGACAGTTCTTCTGGCTCTAACGCTACATCTGCAGCAATTGAGGTCGGTGTCTTAGTTGTCTTGGTAACAGATGAGTGTCAACTAGTTCAATTGAAAACATTTGCAGTATATTTTTGCAGAAATGCATATTTAGAATTTACCGATTCCTCTACGTAATTCACAGATTATTCCTCACGTTCTAGAGAAGCATGAAGCTAAAATATGCAGGCCGTAGGTTGCTCTTTGTGTGCTTTGCATGCTTACTTTCATAGGCAATTCACCTTGACTCTTATCTTAACCTGTCCTCTTCTAGATCATTCAGCAGTAACGAGAATTCACTGGCCAACAGATCCATAATGGAATACTTCTCCGTTTCTCGCAATAAACGAGAAGTAGCGGAGACTTCGATGAGTTCTTCTCATCCTATCCATCCTGTTCCTGCTGTTCCTTTCTCAGAACAACTGGTTGTTGTTGTGCACAAGAACGACAAAGTGGTAAGCAAGAGTTTCGGCAAATAATCTATATTATGTACATTCTTTGAATGAAGCGTTAGTTCATGGCACTATTTCCTTCAGTAACTTCTTTTTACTAGGTTGAAACCGAACTTCGTGAAAACGACGAAATGAAAGAAGAAGATGTTCCGCTGTGTAAGTCATTATAACTGTTGTTGGTGGATATCTTCTAATAGTCGTCGGTAGTATGCTTCGAGATATTTCGTCAAGTTTCCAAGTATTCCAAAGGCTTCAGCCTCAATAACCAAGAAATTATGGTGTTTTTAACAAAAAAAGTAGCAGGGGTATAGTAAATTTGTGCTTTTTCGAAAGAACGATTTATGCCTTATGTGAACGAAGTGTAAGATTGTCTTAATGTTGTGACGATAAGCTTTATAAAGCAGTCAGTTCTGTCTGTCTTTAATGGGGACATTTTCGGCGGGATGACCCATATTATGTAACGAATTAGGTTTGTGGTAACTCGTTTATCGGCCTTACTCCTATCCAAACGAAATTTCCCACAAATCGTCACCTTAAGGGGTCAGAGTTTCAGCTCACAAATTAACATTGTTGTCACTTGTGGATATCAGGTTATAGGAAATAATATGCGTTGTCTGGTGTTAGAATCATTATGAATTTAAAATAGATGTTTTTGCTCTACTACTTTCCATGTTGAAGGTGACTACTTTGTATGAATTGATTTCAGTGAATAGTATGGTTACGCCTCCAAGTACAAGGAAAAACATTTCTCCGGCATTGAATAGTTCGCCTGCTATTTCTAATGCTGCTGTAAAAGCTGAGGACCCAATAGGTAGTGAAGTTTTCACAGGAATAGAGGAGACTGTTATGGTATGCTATATCCTACATACTATTTTGTTGATGTATCTCTCACCATGTTGGTAACTATTGTCATGAAGAGCAACAGAGTTGGTTTTTTCTAATATTAAATAGTGTTGATATTTTAGATGACTACGCAAGAACTCATAAATTCATCGAGTCCAGAAATTAGTTCTTTACAAAACGATTCTGATTTGATATCATTTATAGCAAATTCAGTCTCAAAGGAAATCAATGTCCAGGTAGTGCCAGAATTGTTTTTCTACTCTATTTTGCTTCGAATTTTTAGTAAAGTATCCACCAAGATTCGTTTCTTAAATTCTCTTGCGTTTCAGGAATATCGATCACCACCTTTGACACGCTGGGTGAAAAATCCGCCTTCATCTGCTGTTGTACCTTACAAAAAAGGGCGTATGGATGACAGAGCGCAGCAAATTCAGAGCTCACTGATGTTGTTGCCGGTAGTAAAATGGATGCTTTTTATTATGTCAATTTCAAAAGCTAAGGTAGCCGAAAACTGAGCGCTGGTCTCGCATTTCAGGAAACAAGGCTTCGTCCATCTCACATTTCAATTATAGACAGGTTCAACAATCTGAACGTTATTTACTTGAACGATGCTTTTTCTCATCGGAAGTTTTGGATGTTGCCAAAGGTTGTGCGTATAATGGTGGGTTCAAACAGCGTTTGTAATGATTAAGATATTGGAAACTAAATACATCAAACCGGGAAGATTTCCTCGCTTTTACTGTAGCTTCTGCTTACACAATGACGCAATGAATTGTGAGCCTTAGTACATATAACACACTGTCCGTTCTCCAGGGTTTAGAACTAGAGCAATAGCTCGTCCCTCAGTAGATGGCCTCAATTGAAAAGCGAGATCGACATTAAACTCTTGTAAGCTATCTACGGCTATGCTTTTTTAAATGCAATATATGCAACGGGTATCGTGCAAAAATAATAATACTTTAAGATGGAGCTACTGAAACAGTGACTCCAGAAGAGAAATACAATATATCTATCAGCTGTTGGAGAGCTATGTTTTGTTTTCAGGATCGAATTTCTGTTAACCTTGGCTTTGTATTATAAATGCGTCGTTTTCTTGTTCAGAATTCGCGGGGTTGTTATGCCGCATACGTTTACCTCTTTGCAAAAAGCACATACAACTCAACAGTGGCTGGCGTTTCGACAGTATCACCTTCTTCAGAGCCGCTTTCACGTGCCTTCCATTGAGGAAGAACCGCTGATCAGAGTCGCATGTGGTTAATGACTGCACCACCTCACGCCGAAAATGGATGCGAAGATACGGGGCGAGATCGCGCGTGGCCACTAGGCATTTCTACCTCCTATTCATTGTAGGATTTTTGGCATTTATCCAACAAGTCTCAAGAAGTTTGCGCATTGGTGTGTAGGCATCCTGTACGAGGATGGTAATAGAAAGTAGGAAGTCGTAGGATGACTAATAGACTAGACTATGTTAGTAGGAAGACCGAGGAGGAAGGATTCGTTGCCGAGAATGTAACTCACTCAGATCCACATCGTGGTGAAGACCTGGATACGCATTTCCAAGGTTAGTTCAGGATTCTAAGGAGAATCAAGTTGCACAACCAGCAATAGGTCAGCCTCAGTGCCACGCACATTTGGTGCTCCCGTTTGTGACGTCAGGCGGTGAGACGACCGGTGAGAGGCCACAAAATCTCGAGTTACGTAGGACGTCATTGGAACCGGATCTGACGAACACACGCACGACACGCCATGGAGATTGTTTCTTACTATGCGCGTGTAATGCCAGGAAACTCTCCACAGACGCCGATCTTCACGCCTTTTTTGTAGCCGCAGATCGCATTAAATTTCATGTGATCGCACTACAAGAGACAAAAATGAAGAAGACCGACATACCCATGGAGAAATGGTCCCGACACGAAATATCGGAGACGTAAGCTTTGTCGCCCATCTGTCCATTGCCCAGCTCATCGACTCATACAAGATCCTTTTCCCTCGCATAGTCATCCTACATCTTCAACTGAGGCGTCATGAGAAGATCACAATCATCAACTACTATTCACCTCACCGACCGATGGAGCAGATGAGTACGAATTAGATGCGTTCTACTACCACTTGGAAGAAGTTTTCCGCAATGATAAATCATATTATAGATTTGTTGTCGAAGACCAACGCAAGAATTGAAAAGGTCAACGAGAGCGAATACAGTATCTGAAATTTTGGATTAGGAGAAAGAAAAGGGAATGGAAACCGTCTCGCCGGACTCCTGTCGGCAGCACGTCTCTTCCATGGAAACTCGTTTTTTCCAGAAGGAAGAAAGCCGCCGCTGGACATGGGAGTCTCCTAGCGGCATGACTCATGCTGAGATCGATCACATTCTGACAGACAGAAGATGGTGCCAACTTGACACATCGCTGGCCCCGTCATTCTGTACTGTTCCGATCATCACTTTCTTCGGGCGAAGATTCGACTCAGCCGTAAGCTGTAAAAGAACTTTCTTTATCGACCACGAGGAAAAAGTCTAGTTGTATACGACGAGAACATTCTGAAAGAAGCCCTATCCAAACGTGATTGGCAGATTAAAGAAGACCCAACCGAAGACTACGAGTTGCTTCTCGAAGAACTGAAAAGCTGTGGTGAATTCGTCTCTAGCAAGCAGATCGGGTCGCACCTCCACTACTACTAAGGAGTTGCTCGAAAAGAGAAGGAAACTGAACCTTGATCCTACTTCAACACGTTTAACACGACTAGCAATAAATGGCTGCTGCGGAAGAGCTTTTCGCTAAGACCTATTTCGGTTCATACAAAAGAAACTACTGGAAGCAGCAGAGAAAGGAAGCAGTCTGATAAAATGTCGCCAGTACTTGTGTGATTATAATGTTCCGCTGTCGGCCCGATGAACGAAAATAGGATCGTCAAAGTTTCCCGCCGTGAAATGGAATCGATAGCGGAAACGTTCTACACGAATCTTTTCCGTTCCACAATCTCCGTCCCGGACACTAATATCCACGATGGTGAAAAATCACTCGGAATTCTTCCGTGTGATGTTCGTGTAGCGATAGAAAACATGAAAAGAGGCACAGCTCCAGGACTCGATAGTATTACCACCGACTTCCTTAGAGCTGGAAGCCACAATTTACATATACTTCTCGCAAACCATATGACGGCCTACCTCTAAGAGGAAAAAAAATCTCAGACCAGTGGAGGGCGTCGCGCGCGGTCATCCTACCCGAGAAAGGTGACGGAAGGGATCTTAGTAATTGTAATTCGATATGCTTGTTGAATTTTCTCTGAAAGCTCTTCACGAAGAGCTGCGCATATGAAGGACATTGGGTGAGGCGTAACCAATGAAGCAAGCAGGATATCGACAAGGATTTTGCTGCGTGGACCACATCCAAATTGTGTCCAGGGTTATCGAAGTTTGTCGGGAATACCACCTGCCTCTAGTCCTGGAATCAAAAAACGTTTGACAGTGTTGAAACCATTGCAATCCTATCAGCAGTCGTCGACCAAGGAGTTGATCCGTCCTACGTAAGAACTACATAAGAATCTGACTGATAGCTAGAATGCACTGCGAAAATACGGTTTTTCTACCGACCTCTTACCATATCCGAGGCAGAAAGAGTTCGACAGAGCGACACAACATCGCCAAATCTGTTCAGTGCCGCACTGCAGTGAATAAAGAATTCACTAGATTTGGATGAGAAAGGCATACGTGTTGATGGAAAGTTTCTACCAAACCTTTATTTCGCCGTCGACATCGTCATTTTTTCAAGAAGTACCAGCGAAGCAGAGACAACGATCAACGAAATCAACGAACCGTAAAAAAAGATCGGATTATGCGTAAATCGGAATACTCAGTTCGTAAAAAACCCATGGTGCGAAAGCAAAAAATTGAACTAGGTGGCTCTCATTGCAGAGACGACCTCGTACCTTATACCTTGAGCAATCAATGAAAATGGAAGACAGCATGAAAGAGGAACTAGACAGAAAAAGGAGAGCAGTTTTGGCCGCATTCGGGTCTCTCAAAGAAGCCACCGTTCAACTGAAGGGCCCGAAATTCCACGCTCACCTTTTCAGTGGTCTTCCCAGAGCTCTGTTATACTGCATAGACTTGAACTGATAGTTCAACCACGTCAAAAATACTCCGCACTACTCATAGAGCGCTCGAACGATGTCTTCTGAAATACAACCGGCACTCTTAATATCCAGCCGGAATGCGAAACTCTGATCTTCTCAATGTGTCACATCTTCGGGATCCAGGAGAATATTTGTCGATAACGAAGCCTAGGTGGGACGGTCACATAATGAGAAGAACAAGCGACAGATGGACGAAAAGAACTGTAGAGTGGACTCTACCGGGATGCAAATGTCCCCTAGGATGAGCACCTACAAGTTGGGCGGACGTGTTCGTAAACAAAGTGAATACCCGCAGCTGCAATTATTTAGTTCACGGTGTGAGATTCGCGAGCGCTACCATGATCAAACAAAACCACCACCATGGACTACGATTGCGAGGCAAAGAAACAAATGGAAAGTATTACAAGAGATCAGGGGAAAATCACGCAATTCTGTGTTCGGTCGTACAGATGGTCCCGAGCTAATTGACGATGTAGAGTAACCGATGGTTTTCTTGAACTCTTGTTGAACACGGACACGAAGGAGAAATAACTATGCATGGCTTATCTATTCCGCAGCTTATAGCGCTCTTAAAAGAGTGCCTAAGCTGTTCGATTTTCAGATGGTCAGGGAAATACTACGAGCAGACTAGCGAACTGGCAATAGGACAGCGATTGGAACCAAGTATTGCCATTACGCTCATGTCTAAAATAGAAGCCCCCGTTATCGATCTCCGTCCGCTACTCCACTGCAGATATATCGCTGAATGTTTGGTCATCATCTCTACGCAGGATGATATGGACAAATGCTTTGAATTATTCAACGAGCAATCTGAGTACGTTAAATTCAAAACCGAAAGAAAATTTCTTTTCATTTCTTAACGTTCAAATTGACTTATCACGTAGCTGTTGCATAACAAAATAGTACCGAAAACCAAGTTACGTGAACATCCTTGTTCATTTGCTTTATTTCCACCCTTTACACACAAACAGGGTGCTTGTGAGAAACATGTTTTGAACAGTCATGAAACATGGAACTAACAGAGGAATTGCGCGACTTGGCTCGGCAAATAACCATCTCCAGCGGCCACAAAACAATAGCCCCACGTGACCGACGCCCGAAAAAGAAACATTTGGCCTAAAGAAAATCCCGTTTATGTTGCCATTTATTAGCGTTGAAGTAAGTGTAGGTAGAAAACGATTCTTTTGAAGGGCAGGTGTAGAGGAATCGGTTGCAATAGTAGAAATACGACTCGATACTCTTTGTCGTCATTTAGTTTGTAACCGCCTATATGACCGTCTATGTGAAATACAAAATTGCGTAATTTGCCGTTTTGGCAGGGACGGTAATCGCATGAGTTCAGGTACGATATGCCCGATCCCTTATGATGCTTGTGGAGGTG